TGTTGGTGGGGTTATTAGGGGTTCTGGACCCTTTTTTTTTTTTGGGTGCCGACGACCCCCGACCGGCAGGTGCCGACCAGCCAACCGGTCGGCTGGGCGGCATTCGACCAGTCAAGGGCCGCTGACCGTCGGGGTATGCAACATTGCTTTTGGCTGAATTGCTGTGGTGTTGCTATGGTGGCAGCGGTGAGCAAAGCCAGGTTGTGAGAGTCAGTGCGCGCAGCTCCGATACTGTGGAGTCTCTTCGAGAGAGAGCTCTTGCTGCCGCAGGCATTCAAGCACAGGGCCGAGGAGCAGCAGCTCATATGGTGTGCAATGGAGTGCCTGTAGGTGCCCTTTTCCTTTTTTTTCCGCATTTGATGATTCACCAATGATTTTTGAATCCCTTGGTGGTCCATCCATTTACCCATAGGAAAGGAGGGAGGGAGGAAGGGARGGAGGGAGGGAGGAAGGGAGGGAGGGACGGAGGGACAGAGGGACGGAGGGACGGAAGGAGGGAGGGAGGGAGGGAGCGACGAAGGGACAGAGGGAGAGAGGGAGGGAGAGAGGGAGGGAAGGAGGGAGGGAGGGAGGGAGGCTGATGCATTTAGCGTAAGGACAGTGAGTAGTACCTGCTGTCACTTCGCCATATATACTTCCTTGCCACTGTTTGTACTGATGGGGTTGGGCTTTCTCCAAGCGAGCATTTTTTGCCAGTTTGAGCCTAACCGATGAGACAACTTGGGTTGGTAACTTAGGTTCTGAAGAAGTGATTCGGTAACCTGGGTTACAAACTCAGGTCTCGTCAGTAACTTGGGCTGGGACCTTAGGTTGGGGCAAGCTTTGATCAGTTTGATCAGTAACTCTGGTTGGTAACTCTGGTTGGTAACTTTGGTTGGTAACTTTGGTTGGTAACTTTGGTTGGTAACTCTGGTTGGTAACTCTGGTTGGTAACTTTGGCTGGTAACTCTGGTTGGTAACTTTGGTTGGTAACTCTGGTTGGTAACTCTGGTTGTAACTCTGGTTGGTAACTCTGGTTGGTAACTCTCTGGTTGGTAACTCGTATTCTGAAGGAAGTGACTTGGCACATTGGATTGTAAACATTCGTCATTAACTTGGGTTGGTATCTCGGGCTCAGTAATTTGGGTTTGTGATTTTGGCTCAGTAATTTGGGTTGGAAACTTTGGCTCAGTAACTTTGGTTGGAAACATTCGTGTTACGATGCTGGTCAATTTCGAAGTGCGAAATCACAGTAAAGTACGATAAAGTACAATGTCATCCAATTGCAAAAGAAATGAATGAACTTTGAGAGGAGGGAGAGATAGACGAAGAAGAAGAAGAAGAAGAAGAAGAAGAAGAAGAAGATATACAGGAGCAGCAAAATACCAATGACAAGTCCCCTTTCTCTCGCCAACCACTCGTCGTCCTTATCGCCGCCTCTCTTATTCAAACAATAAATAATAATAAAAATGATGAATGGCTGAGCCAGAACCAATATGTCTGAATCCCTCTTCTACTGCTTGGCATAACCAGAGGTCCACCATAGCCATAGCCTCCCTCTTCCTTCTCTTCAACCGGTCTGAGGCTATGGCAGACTACTAAGGGCCTAGCCATGAGGTGCAAAAGACAATGCAAAGCAGCTATGTCCGCTGCTGCTTCTCAGGCCGCCATGCCTGACTTCTGCCTTGAAGCCTTCTTGGTGCGGCGCAACCCCAACTGGGTCCTTCCAGATGCAGCGCCTAACATGGTGATGAAGATGCGGTCCACCATAGCGAGGTAAGTACCTTGCCACTCTCCTCCGTCGTCCCGTTCTTCCTCCTCCTCAGACTGGGCTGCTCGCCATAGCCAGGCATAGCGCCCATCTTTCCTCCTTCCTCCCCAGAGTACCAGCCCCCGCTCAAGCAGCATGACCCCCAAACTTGCATACTACAAAAAAAGAGGCTGAGCCTCTCGCTCTCGGCCTCCCTAAGTAGCGAGGCAACTTGCCTCTTGGGGGGTGACTTCCAGGCCGCGCGGCCTCCAAGCAACCGGTACCTCCTCCCTTTCGGAGGGAAACATCATTGCAGGCTCCAATATCGTCCGCACAGGCCCTGGACTCAAGGCTACTTGGACAGGTACCAGCCTAGACCTACCGTCTTCACCCCAATAGAACGGCCAGTCATTATCGCTGCACCGGGACTGAAAAGTGTCCCAAATACAGCTCAAATGACAGGGCGTTATATTCGGGTGAAGATGGTAGGCCTACGGCTACTGGGCCTCTGAAAATACTAACTTTTTGTCTTCTTCTGCTCGGCCTACCGCTACTCAAGTGCTACCGGTGCCGACACCACGCTACTTGAGTGTGCCCTAAGCTTCCCTTTCGGCCACGAGTGTTTTTCCCCCGGTGCAACCCTCGAAGTCATGGCCACAGGCAAGTACCGACCCCGTGGGCCTCCTCCCAAACGAACAAGTGCCCTCGCCGACCACACACACACTCAGGCCGACAAGCACTCAGACAGGCACACGAACCAGCAAGCACGGGAATCTCAGCAAGGCATACATTCCAGCGGCACAACTCAGAAATCAGCAGTGTTTTCAGTCTGTGTTTTGGCAGGTCATTACATTTGTCATTAACTTGGGGTTGGAAGCATCCGTCACTAACTTGAGTCGGTAACTTTGGCTCAGTAACTTGGGTTGGTAACTTTGGCTCAGTAACTTGGGTTGGTAACTTTGGCTCAGTAACTTGGGTTG